GCTCCTTAAACTTTCCCATGGAGGCCCGTGAGTTGAAGTTATATCTGCTGAGGATAGTTGGCTGGTTCACTATCTTCAGCTGCAGGACCCCCGGAGAGTAGACCTTTCTACCAAAAAGGTCCATCCTTTTCGACTCCTTGGATTTAGAGGTTGGCCCCTGCCTCTCCTTCTCATTAACGGCAGCCACTACCAGCGAGCATGGCTGCAGGTGTGAGAACAGGTACTCGTAACCCTTAGAAGGGATGAAATACTTGCGCTCCATGCCTCTAGCGGTAGGCGGGATGGATGCAGGGGTCTGCCATAGAGACTTAATGTTGCTCTGGATCGTTTTTATCAGGAGCAGAGCTACCCTGGATGGGTCTTCTGGTGCGAGGATGTCAACCATCGGGTCCTCAGGTTTGACAACCTCCTCTGCCTGCAACCCCATGTTACAGGCGATCCTCCGCAGAAGGTCTTGGTGGGCCCTATGGTCAATCAGTGGAGGACCCAAGGTAGATGCCCCTGCCACTGCCTTGTCCAGGGACAAAGAGGAGGCCAGAAGTGGCACGGGGTCCTCCTGACCCTCCAGCTCTCTAATCTCCTCCTGGTCAGTGCCGGGAGCCTCTGAGGCAACTGCTGTTGCGGCGATAGTAGCCTGGCCCTGCAGTGTGATTTGCACCAGAGTCGACTCAGCGGTGACCCGGACAGGTGGTGGGGCTTCTGCCAACGTCATCTCGGATCCCTGAGGCGTAGGCCTGTCATTGGAAAAACCTCACTCTCAAACCTTATCTACCACTATATACACCAGGGGTTCTCAATCTGGGGGTCGGGACCCATTGGGGGTCATGAGGTTATTGCATGGGGGGTCATGAGCTGTCAGCCTCCACCTGAAACCCCACTTTGCCTCCAGCATTTATAATGGTATTAAATATATAAAAAAGTGTTTTTAATTTATAAGGGGGGTTGCATTCAGAGGCTCGCTATGTGAAAGGGGTCACCAGTACAAAAGTTTGAGAACCCCTGATATACACTAACTATACAGGTTTCAGAGTAGCAGCCGTGTTAGTCTGTATCCGCAAAAAGAACAGGAGTACTTTCCTGTTGCCACAAGTACTCCTGTTCTTTCTACTAACTATACAACTAACTAAGAGCTAAACTACAACTATCAGAAAGTACGCTAAGGGAAGCACTTGCTAGGCAAGCGACTGCGGTTCCAATAAAGGAACTGAGGAGGGGACAGGTCGGCAGGGGCATATAACCAGGGGGCTCCACAGCCGACCCGATGGGAGCTGCTACAGGAAAACTTTCTGGCGTCTGTGCATGCAACACGCACACACCTAATTGGAATCGATATGAGCAATCACTCAAAAAATATCTTTTACTGGACCAATTTCTGTTGGTGAGAGAGCTAAGCTTTTGAGCTTACACAGAGTTCTTCTTCAGATCTGGGAAACTTAATTAGAGGGTCAGAGCTAAATACGAGGTGGAACAGATTGTTTAGCATAAGTAATATGTTAACATAAATTGAAATATGTTAGTTTAGCATTAATGATTTCTTCCACCTTCTATTTAATGGTGACATTCTGACTGTTTCCCAGACTTGAAGAAGATCTCGGTGTTGTAGCTTGAAAATGTATCGCTCTCACCAACAGAAGTTTGTCCAATAAAAGATATGACCTCATCCACCTTGTCTCTCGTACAAATATTGGGACAGTTTAGCTAGCATATCCCAATTCATGTAATTACATCTTATCCCCCTCCATTTTCCCTGCAGTTTCAATTAACTATGATTCTTCTTTGCCATGTCCTGTGGTAAACGCTTACATAGCCTTGTGTGCAACTGTTAAACACAGGGCAAGCGTAAGCAAATTTAAAGTCTCCTACAAACCTATGAGATTGTTCTCCCTAGCTGCATGAGCCACGATTTAGTGAGTGATCTTTGCTGCTCCAAATTCCTACGCAATATCAGCCTTGTGGGAGGGGACTCCAGGGCCGCCCGGGGGGGGAGGGGGGCAAGTGGGGCAATTTGCCCTGGGCCCCACAGGGGCCCCCATGAGAGTTTTTCGGGGCTCCTGGAACGGGGTCCTTCACTCGCTCCAGGGGCCCCGGAAAACTCTTGCGGGGCCCGGGCCCCTGGAGCTTCTTCCACTCTGGGTCTTTGGGGGCAATTTGGCGGCGGGGGGTCCTTCCGCCCCGGGACCCGCCGCTGAAGTGCCCTGAAGACCCACGGCGGGGGGTCCTTCCGCCCCGGGACCCGCCGCTGAAGTGCCCTG